CTAACTACAACAACACACACACACACACACACACACACACACACACACACACACACACACACACACACACACACACAATTCCATGCCATCTGCAGAAACATTCACAAATAATGAGATTTTGAACCAAATCCACAGTGGTATAAGTCCATGGGAATCAAATTTAGTCCTTGGTTGTGTACTCATCAATAATACTTCAGGTGTCACATGCAAATGGGATTTGTATTCATGTCATTTGAAAATACCTGTTAGGAAAATCTAAAGCCATCATCCATAATCTAGCAAGAATTGCTAAATGGCTGATGGTATGATTCCCACATGCTGTCAAGAGGTGAAACCACACAGGTGGCTTACTATGGATCAGTCTTGGTGAAGGGATGTTATCTTTCCGAGCGTGCCAGTGTGCTTGGGTTCTTAGTACTTGTGAAAAGGGGTGGCATGCCACATTCTACCCTTGATGCTGTAATCTTATATGCCCTACATAACATACATTCAGTATTTACCAGGGATAAGAATCTTAATATTAGCACACAGTGATTCCTTAGACATTGTTAATATCATTAATGAGCCCAGATCTTTCATGAGTGCCATTTTCAGTGGCTCAGTTTGATAGAAACAAAAAGCATATGTTGCTTCAAAATCTGACAAGGGGCATTTCTGGATTTGCTTACTTTTGCTAAACTGCCCTTGAACCATATTTACTTTGAAGTTTTTTTGGTTTGGTTTTCTAGTATTTTTGTCCTTGCCAGAAGCAAGACCTGTCCTACACAAGGCCCCATGCAAATGCTCACCACAATTTCACGGACATCAATGAACCCTCTCCACCCCACACCTCCCATCAATGACAACCAGAGCTCACGTAACAAAATGACTGGATGAGCAGCTAGATAACAGTGACAAAAAGGACATCATGCAGAGCATCAGAGTGAGCAAGTGATACTGAGGAGGACATCCATTCCTGCGGGTACATTATGATGGCTAATGAACTAGAGATTGGTGGTGACCAAATAGATTCCTTGCATTGTAGGGTAGATGCAAGGAACAGCAGCAGCTAAAAACAGCGAGGCAGGAGGGGAAAGATGCAGCGAGATGACTTTCCTCCAATGAAGGCAAAAGTGAAGTCATTGTAACAGAAAGAGCAGAAGGGATCATTGTTCTGCAGTAGAAGCTTGTGATTGGCTACTGTGGTTGATAATGAGGATGAAGGTTCTGATTAACGACTGACATCTTCCTTTTAGCTGGAAATGTCAGTGCTTGTTTTACATCACACGGGAGAAATTTACATGCTCTAGTACTACAGATGACTGAGCCATCCTCACATACTTGCAAATTAAAAACCAAGAAATTGGTTTTAATTTTTAAGCAAATATGCAGCTCCCAAGTCAAAGGAGGTGTCCTATTCTGTCTCTATAACTAATAGAAAAGTTGTAGCAAATGGGTGTTTCTTAATAACCTAAATTCCTGAATTATATCTTGTGCTGAGGTGCTGTACCTGTTTTCACAGGTTTATCTTTTTGGTTTCTGAAATCAAAAGGAGCTTTTCATATAACCAAAACCAATCTCCAGAATCCATTCTGATCTAGCACAGGTCCTAAAATTATACGCCCTGCAAGTCTTTTTTCCCCGCCAGGAACTCAACAGAATCCACCTAGGAGGGCAAGATTAATGAAACCTTAAGACTCCAGGGCTGTATATATGTAGGGCCCTACTAAATTCACAATCCATTTTGGTCAATTTCATGGTCATAGGATTTTAAACATCGTAATTTTCATGATTTGAGATATTTTAATCTGAAATGTTATGGTGTTGTAATTGTAGGGGTCCTGACCCAAAAATGAGCTGTGTGTGTGTGTGTGTGTGTGTGGGGGGGGCTTGCAATATTTGGGGGTGTGTGTTGCGGTACTATCCTTACTTCTGCGCTGCTTCAGGCGGCAGTGCTGCCTTCAGAGCTGGGCAGCTGGAGAGCAGCGGCTGCTGGCTGGGAGCCCGGCTCTGAAGGCAGAGCTGCCACCAGCAGTAGCGCAGGAGGAAGGGTGGCATGGTGTGGTATTGTCACCCTTACTTCTGTGCTGCTGCTGGTGGGGCGCTGCTTTCAGAGCTGGGCGCCCGGCCAACGGCCCCCGTTCTCCGGCCACCCAGCTCTAAAGGCAATGCAGAAGTAAGGGTGGAAATACCACTACCCCACTAAAATAACCTTGCGACCCCGTTGCAACCCTTTTGGGTCAGGACCCCAATTTGAGAAACGCTGGTCTCCCCCCGTGAAATCTGTATAGTATAGGGTAAAAGCACATTAAAGATCAGATTTCACAGGGGGAGACCAGATTTCATGGCCCTTGACGTGAATTTGGTAGGGCCCTATATATATGCCAAGAATGGAAGTTGATCAACTTTATCCGCTGTTTTGCATATTTATTAAAAGCAACAATCTGTTTATAATTGATAGTTTTCCTACAGTGATTACTGGGGAAGGCTGTCCACCACAGCAATAAATACTCACTGTTTACGGTACCTGCTAGTGCATTAATATTATTCAGTCCAACAGTGGCTCCAGCCAATCCTTGGAGAGTACCCAGAGAAGTCAAAGAATTCATGGCTGCACCAGCCGTGGAATTAGCAGTTGACGCGGCCACTAAAAGGGGAGAAAGTAGGGCAATATTAATTAAAGTAAACAGAACTTGCAATGTATCAATCACAAAACATCATGCACCGATTCTAATCTTAATAACTGGACTCCTTGCAAAAATGTAAGGAATCAGACCAACTTTCTCAATAAGTTCCCGTATTGGTTGCTGATGGAAAGCACTGCTGATTTTTTTAGTGGTGTGGATTTGATAGTGAAATTTAAGTAATTTGGCTTTCTTTGCAGAAATACTAAATCTGTGAACAGTTAAAAAACCTCTATCACATTCTCAAAAGCTTATCAATAAAGCACTAAGGGCTGATCAGCCAGATAGACTGCCAGAGAGGCTGCCCCTTCTTAACATGGCCATTAAGCAACCACATGTTACTCATAGGTCTTCGTATTGATATCTGAGGAGATCTGGTCTCATAAACAGTTCCTGTTCTGGGCTCAAGCAAAACCTGAATTGTTCTGTCTTAAGTGCGATACTGTTAAGGCATTGTATCTTTAGGGCACCATATAAATGGAGAATAAAGCACTGAAACATGAACTAAAAAAAAAAGAACGAAATACCAAATACAATTAATTTTTCTGTCGGCTTCCATTGTAGTATCTAGGTAGGTACTTCTGTGGCCCCATCAGCACAGTATCCAAGCACACTACAAATATGAGATGTATTTATCCCTGTTGAGGGAGGGAAGTATTATCACTGCAATTTCACAGAAGAGGAACTGAGGCACAGGAAGATTAAGGGACATAGACTCATAGACTTTAAGGTCAGAAGGGACCATTATGATCATCTGGTCTGATCCCCTGCATGCTGCAGGCCACAAAACCGTCCCTACCCCTCTCCATGTTCAAGGCCACACATAGAATCTGTGGCAGATGTAGGATTTATAGCCATATCTCCTTAATCCCAGTATAGTGCATCTGTCTCAAGACCATCTTTCCTCTGTAGCAGCGTTATCTGAAATGCCAATATCTTATTTTAAAGTGAACATTCTAGTTGGGCTGTGGTGAAAAGGGCACGAATGCTTTCTGTCCCTAATCCTCTTAATCCTTTCAGGGGCCGTCTCCTCCATCAGAGGCACCCCGTAGGGCAGTGAAAACCCAAGAAGTTAAAGTTTCTAGGCTGACAGGATGCAACAAAGAGAGCGGAAGACAATTTTATCAAAGACAAGGAGTTGCCTTAACAGAGTCCAAGGAAAGTGCAAGTAATTCCTCCTTACTTTAAACAAAGTCACACACACATCTATCTACCTACCTCCCCACAACTCCAAGACACCCTTAAACTTCCTTGCACCCTGCCCTAAAGGTCAACAAATTCCGAAGAGTCAACAAGCCTTCTGGCCTTTGCAATACAGACGCTGTTAGCTTGAGAGCCCTCACTGATCTTAAACCCTGCTGTCGTGTGTGCGTGTGGTGGAGACCAATGATTTCTCAGTCAGCCAGGATCCAAGGTACGTAAAGCCTTGTAGGCTAAAGTCTAATTGTATCCAGAAGCAAATAAGGTGTCTGTACAGTGGCTAAATGAGCGGTGTAATAAGCTCCCTGTGGCTAATGCTATCCGGTGGACAGCTCCATGTTACATCAGCAATTCGTTTTATGAAGAACAAAACTAGAACAAATCATAAAATGTAAGATTAAAATTCTTCCTGTGTGAGAGATTAATGAGCAGATGGGTTGCTAACACATCCTTGTGAGTGAGGAAGGCAGTCCAAATCCTTCTCCTCCGTAAGGTCCCAGGACCTCATTCTGGTTACTGGTGTCAGATCCACACAACTCAAATGCATGGTCAGTGACTGACCAAAATCTGGGCTAAATTTAAGTGCGTTTTCTTGGGTTCAAGTTTTGGTATTCTATCAGTTAACACTGAGCAGGCTCCTCAGATTTTCTCATAATTTGAATTTAGAGCTCACATTATCCTAGTTTGACTGAATATTCAGGTAACTCAGAACTATTATAACATGCTATTGAGAGCAGTGAAGCAGCCCAGAAATCAGTGGTCTTGTGTTGCAATTATTTTTACTGCTTGGCAATGATATGCACTGCAAGTCTGATGGGAGGAATTAGCCATAAGACATGTCAGATACACTTGAGGGTCTTTCCTATTTTGCTGACTGCTACTTTGAGGGGCGTAGGATTGAAGATTTTACATGCACACAATATCATTTGAGCATGGAGTAAAGAGAGGGAAGGAGGACAGTCCAGTGGTCCAGGCACTAGCTTGGGACCTAGAAAACCCAGATTCAATTCCCTGCTCTGCCACAGACTTCCTGTGTGAGCCTGGGGCAACTCAGTCTCTGTGTCCCAGCTCCCCAGCTGTAAAATGGAAGTTAGAGTACTTGTGGACTTCAAAAGAGTGTTGTGGTGATAAATATACTAAAGATTGTGAGATACTACAGCAACAGGGACCACATAAGTACCATAGGTAGGTAAATAGCTGAAAAAATTTCCACAACACGCTCGACACCACCAGTAAATGAAACATGGTATTACTTACAGAACACAAAAATGTAATAAAGGAAAAGGTAAAATACCATGGAAGCTTTATGTATAGAAGCCTGTTATCTAAACTCTTATTTCTCCTACCTGTGGTGTACACTGAAATCGGTCTCAAGCTAAGGATTACAGGAGCTTATCCTGTCTCTTCCCTCTTTTCCTTCAGTTGAAATGACCTTGCTTTAGAAACGTAATGTATGATGAATACACAGGAAAAAAAAATTACACGGCTTGTGGTAAAGTTAGAATACTGTGCCATTCATTTGGGAAACCAGCAAAACTCTCTAGCATCAACCAAGCTCCTGGTCTCGGCAGCTGCTCTTACTTATGGCAAAGGGAGCAGAACTCAGTGCCATCACAGCGTTATTTTATATTTATTGCTTTTAGTTGTCCAGGTGACAAATATCTATTGGATACCTACTGCATTTATAAATTGCTTTCTTCTGGAGCTCCCATGTCACCAAATTATAATAATAAAAAGTTTGGAACGTTGCTGCTCTGAATTGAATTGCCTCACAGTAGTGCCTCATAAGCAGTCTCCAGATTCCGAGAAAGCTTGATGTACTGACTTGTAGCACTGTTAGGAAGGTTTTTCTTGATGCTGCCTTTCTACCAACATTTAGTCTAATTGTTCGAAAAACTGAAATGTACAAAACGGGCATAATGGCTTAGTCTTCCTTATGGAGTCTTGTATCCGTAGCAGTAAATTGATTATTCTTCACTTTGTACTGGGAATTTTATCCCTGCCTCCTTTAAAACCTAGACCCATTTGAGCTTCAATAAGCTACAAGGGCAGCATCAAGGAAGCTAGCTAGCTTCGCAGAGACAGATAAAAGGAACAAAGAAGCAGCTTGTGTTCTAGCCAGGTGAATATTGGGTGATTGTGAACTAATGGTAGGAGAATAGGGTTGCCCTCAGACTATGACTGAATTTTTTCACGTTTTTTTAAAGGGCTGGATCCATTTTATAACCATTTGTAACATGACAGACAAGATTCTATTCGCTTAGAGGCATTTCTACGGCACTCCCCACTATAATACCAGTCATTGGAAAGATTGGATGTCTCTTTCTAGACGACATGCGCTAGCTCAGTGTTTCTCAATCTTTTTGATACCAGGGACCGACTTGCTGCCTTCCTAAACTGTGTCATGGAGATCTCAGGGACCCGCGCTGGACCATGGACCAGTCGTTGAGAAACACTGCACTAGCTCCTTCAGAAGTTATTGGGATCATTGCAGGAATTACGGGGTGAAATTCTATGGCCTGCTTTAGAGGCCAGATTACAACAGTATAATGGTGACTTCTGATCTTAAAAATTATGACCATATGAAAAACAATCTGAGCGACAAGCTGAAAGATCCAGTTGCACTTTCAAGACTAGGGGTTGCACTTGAATCCTGGGCCAAATTTTCCCCAATTCCCAATGCTGTACTCTGTTCCAGTTGTCTGCTGCCCTCTCTCCCAGAGGGGGTCTGCATTGCTCCTCTATAGAGAGTTTGTAGATCACTTTGGGACCTCTTTGGAATGAAAAGTTCTATATGTGAAAGATAAGAAGGTCAAGATGATTGTTCTCCGATTACAGCCTCTGCTCTTTAGTTCATACTGCCCCCACTGCACCTCATGCCTGGAACCATTTCTCCGATCCAGTATCTCATGCAACCACCTGGTCTGCCTCCTATTACCTCCATTCCCACCCCCATTCTTTTCAATGGATACCCATGCAAATGAATAAAATCAAAGTTATCATGAAAGTGTGAACCAGGATGGGAGCATGTCATAACCAGACTAGATATGGGGTGTGTGTGTGCGCGCAGTCCAGACTAGAGAGGGCTTGTGTCACCATCTGCCATAATATTATTGACCAGTGAGTCATTAGTTTTCAAATGATATCGCACAAGGCATATTTTGTACAAAGAGTATTACAGTAGAGTGTAGGGTGGGAATATAGGGGTGCATTCAGTCACAGGGCATGTCACCAAAAGGAGTAACCTCATGACCGCATTGTCCCACCCTCACCTGCTGTTTTACCATGACATATTGAATTTAAGGCTTGGATCCTGTTCCCTTTGAAGTCAGTGGGAGATTTGCCATCAACTTCAGTGGGAATAGGATCTGGATCTCAGACTGCATGCTCTTTGGGCCAGGTCTATCTTTGAAGTTCAAGGCACCAGTCACACCTATAGCTGTATTCAAATAACAATGATTTCACAGAAGGCCAGAAGGAACCATTACATTTATCTAACCTGCTCTTCTGCATTAACACAGGCCACAGATTTCACCCAGTTGTTTCTGCAACAAGCTGAGCAACTGGTATTACCTCTTGGGGCTAGGATTTTTGAAGGAGCCTAAAGAAGTAAAGTTTCAATGGAATCTGGGCACCTATCTCCAAATGCCAGCCTAGCAAGACATCCAATCCTGACGTAAAGACCCCGGACCATATTCTCAGATACTGTAAACTGGCGAAGCGCCGCTGAGGTCAATAGAGCGATGACAATTTACGTAAGGCT